ACTTTCAAATATTTTAAAAGAAATGATATCAGAGACCAGACTCAAGCCATTTCTTTAGGTGGAACTATTTAAAAAGGAAATTTTGTTGCACAACATAATCAGAATGCTAAAAACTGCTCATCTTTAGGTACTGAAGATGATATTAAGAAAATATTGGCAATTCCAATAGATCTTCAGATCACAAACTGAAAAAAAAGCTACTGAATTGTACCACAAGCCTATTTAAGTGTTATACTAAGCAAATAGATTTATTTTGAATGACTAATTGCAATGCATTAGTTGTACCACAGTTTTAGGAATCATGACCTTGTATTGGGGGCTTTAAAAATGGAACTGAATATGAAACCTTGAGAACACTAGTAATAGAAGAGCAATGAGAAACATCATTTCAGGGGCTCCTACGGATTCTTCCAGATTCAATCCTATCCAAATTCAATCCACATGAGTACTTTTAGGGCACTAAAAGGTACCTTCGAGCTGGCTATAAGGACCCTGGTTATAAGCAATACAAGGATAAAAGGACATTATTACACCAGAATTACCATAATGAAAATATTAGAAATAATATCAAAGCCAGACTGAGTCAATACCCACAGGATTTTATTATCTTCAACACTAGTGACTGCTTAACAAAATATGCTTAACAAATCGTGTCTGAAAATTGTGAGTTTATATTCCTATATGATCATAGAAACAATCATTTTTAAGATTGAATAGCAATATTTATTTTACACCTATCATCTGACTTTAAGATAATATCTTGCAAAAAAAAGTTACAGCTTTTAGAGGTGAGAAAAAATAAGAAAAGAAAGAAAGAAAGAAAGAAAGAAAGAAAGGAGAGAGAAAGAAAGAAAGAAAAGAGAGAAAGAAAAGAAAGAAAGAAAGAAAGGAAGGAAGGAAGGAAGAAAGAAAGAAAAGAGAGAGAAAGAAAGAAAGAAAAAAGAGAGAGAAAGAAAGAAAGAAAGGAAGAAAGAAAGAATCCCAAACTCAGGACCTGGAACATCAACTAATTCACCACAGCTTTGCAGTGTCAAATAAAAGGTCTATCATAGAAAACTACATGCGAGTGTAAAACTTCTGTTTCTGGACTTTGATCCAAGTGGTCATAAAAAGTTGTCCTCACTTAGTATCTCCTATTTCCAGTATATGCCAAATATTCTCAAGCTTTTGTCTAGTACAAAACAAAGCAATAAAAAGTCAATCATATTACCCCTACAATTCTAAATGATCTAAAACATCGTGCACACAGAGCTGATTAGTAACTAATGAAAGGTAAGTTATTCTAATAAGCTGTCAAGAATAACAACAGCTGTTAAAGTGGCATTAGCACCAGAAAGGCTTCATCTGTGAATGCACAAGCATTAAAGCCCTTAATGAACGCAGCATCTCAAACTCGTAGGACTGCAAAGTTTTCTATGATAGCGAGGGGGGAGGTTTTCCATAGGTTTTAGTTACTAGTCTCAAAGTAATTTTTATGCCTATAGATTATGTTACGAATTGTTCAACTGACACTCTCAAAATTCACCTAAACAGGTTTTGATTGCTGAAAAGCATCTATTTGTGTGCTGCAAGCTATAGCTTTTAAGGAGGTGCTTGGCTCTGTATTTGAAGATAATTATAGGAAACAATGTAATACAGCAGCAATAACTGCTTTCAAGGTCAACCAAAATTCACAGGTGTTTAAATGAGAGTTTAGTGCCTGAACCTTCCTTCTATTCAGGGACTACTATTGAGTGCAGACCATTCAGTCTGGGGAGAGAATACAGAAGCATGCATGAATGTCAAACAACAATTAAATCAAATAAGGTAGAAACAGTTCTATCAATGAGACTGTTTACAGGCACAGATGGCCAATCTCAGTGAATCCAAATTTATTTAAAATCTTAAAACTCGCCAAATGCCTCTACAGAGCTATTCTGTTGCATGGGTTTCCTGAATCACATACAGTATTCATTTTTTACAGTGTGTAACAAAAGGGATAAAAGCAAAGTAATGTGATCTTCTTGTTAAAGCAAACAAACAAACAAACAAACGACTTAGCTGTAAAGTTAAGGTGTCTGTAATAAGATTTGACCACAACCATGTGAATCACACCGTGTTCAGCAGGTTGAC